AAATCATGCATAAACAGCTTTTAGTCATTTCGTTACTACAGAAAGAAAGCACAGAATGACAGATTTAAAAGGCTTCTGCACATCTTCCTAAAATACTGTATAATATGCAAGGGAAACCTCTTCCCTTAGGCTTGAAATTCATCATACAGAATTTAAATTTTAGTCTGAAAAAAATACATTAAATTTCACTTATGTCATACGAGAGTATAATATTAGCAGTATATAAAATATGCAGATGGTAGCACCAATAATATTGCTGAGTATTACTTACAAGTATTAAAACTGGCAGGCATCAACCTGTCTGTTAATGTGTTATTATTTCCTGATTGATAAAGATGAGCTGAAGAACTGCATATGATCATGTTATTTATAAGACAGTAGATTACAACATGCTTAGATTATCTACATAATGATGATATATACTGTACAAGACTATACAAAGCCCATAAGGTATGAGCTTCACTGGAGTAAGGCACTACACAAGCTAGAAATACATAGATACAAAAGTCCAATATGGAGAATAAACGAAAATTCCTTTAACAAAGGTACTGGATACCTTTTTTGTAATGATACATTTTGTATATCGATAAACAATAGCACAACAAAGTCATATAATAAAGACACAAATGCAATAACAAAACATCCAAAAACTCTCTCTGCGACCTCATTTATTCATTCATTGACGCAGGACACGTTAATCATACCGCATTGTCTTGAGCTTTGCTAAATCCAGATTAATGATTAATCATGTTGTGGGTCTTCCTCAGGTTCCGCGACCCGCCGTGGTTCCTGATGGCCATCATGAGTTCTTCGCGGGGATCCAGCGCCGGGGCCGTCTTGGGCGCCACGATGCGCTTCCCGGTCGCCGTTCGCCTCTCTCCGTCGCCAGCTGTGGGTGCCGGTGGGGGAGGGGGAGCCATGGGTGGTGCAGGTGGGGGAGGAGGTGGGGGCATTCCACCTGCCTGATTACTAGGGGGAGGGGGAGCCATGGGTGGTGCAGGTGGGGCAGGAGGTGGTGGCACTACTTCCGGAGGAGTTGAGCCACGAGAGCCACCCGGAACGGGGCGAAGCTGCACGTTTTGGAATGCAGGCCCAGACGGGGGGCTCACCCGGGATGGCGACGTGCGAGGAGGAGACACACGAGAGGGCGACGTTCTCGGCGGGGACACGCGGGTGGCGCCCACAGATGCCATGGGCGAGGGTGACGGGGCCTTAGGTGCTGGCTGAGACAGCGCGGCCACGAGTCTTGCAGCCGTCGGGGCCTGTGGGATGGGTTCCTGCAGAGGAGCCGGAACCGAACTATTCGTGGGGGGTGACACAGAAGACCGTGACTGAGGCTGCGAGGGCTGTCGGAAACCACGCACGACGGGAGCAGGTCGGGGCTGGCCACGCTGATCGTTGTTCAGCTGAACTACTGAGCGGACCTTGTCTCTAGGTGCAGCTGCTCCGTTGCCCGTTTCTCCTTTGTCAGAAGACAATGTCACCACAGAGGTGTATCGCGGACCAGATTCATTCTCAGCTTCCCTGGGTCGTTGGGCCGCGGCAGGAGTTCCTTCTCCGTTGTAGTAATACGTCTGGGGGGGCTCATGGACAACGGCTTGCTGTCCGAAATAGGTTAGCGGTTTCGAGGCCTCTACATTATCCTGTTAAAAGAAAAGTTACCATTTGTATTATATGCTATAAACTAACTTCATAATGTAACAGGTGTTTTCCTCCCACACCTGAATATTTAGATATACAGATTATATACCCTCGTAGAAAGGTCTTTGAATCGACTGGCATATCAGAAAGATATACCAAAGGAAACTCGGTTTAAATTCCTTAGAAAAATGAACGCTATGACTTATAAATTAGCTTAATCGTTATCAACATTTGTACTAAATATTTATAATATTAGAAATCACTCACACTCACAAAGCATAATTTATATACTGAAGTGACTGAAGGTGAGTGTCCCTAACACCACGTTTGAAAAACACTCCAGAGCCCCACACGAGTGCTGGAGGCCCAGTCCCTACCTGCGGAGGAGAGTCTTGGCGGGAGTTCCGGCGCGGAGGGCGCGTGGGCTCCGGGCTCTCAGGCTCCTTCTGCAGCCCGAAGTCCTGGCGCCTGGCCTCCAGTTCTCGCCAGAACGCTGCTCTCTCGGGCTGTGGCACATCCGCCTGCTGGGTCTGCTTGGGCGGGGACGGCTGCTTTGGCTGCTGCAGGTACTGCGGGGAAGACTGCTTCTGCTGCTGCATGAACGGAGGGGAAGGTTGCTTCTGCTGCTGAGTGTACGTGGGGGGAGGGGAAGGCTGCTTCTGCTGCTGGGCCTGGCTGAACGGCGGGGAAGGCTGCTTCTGCTGTTGGTTCTGCATGAATGGTGAAGGCTGTCTCTGCTGCTGCATCTGAGGAGGAGAGGGCTGCTTCTGCTGCTGCATCTGAGGAGGAGAGGGCTGCTTCTGCTGCTGAGGGCGCATGAATGTCGGGGACGGCTGCTTCTGCTGTGGCATTAATTTGCTCTGCACTGGCTGCATGAACTGAGGCTGCTGTTTTTGCTGCTGCTGCATAAACTGGGGCTGCTGTTTTTCCTGTTGTTGTTGCTGTTGCAAAAACTGTGCAAACTGCTGTTGCTGCTGCGGGGACAGGTTGTGAAGCTGCTGTGGCTGATTAAACTGAGGCTGTTGAGGTTGTGCAGACTGGTAGGGCCTCCTTTCCTGACTCATGGTTTCAGCTGGACGTGCAAAAGCCTGCTGCTGTGGTTCAGGGACGACTGAAGGTGGGAAATCCTGGGAAGTCTGCGACCGGGGAACAGATGTGACGTAGTCCTGGTCCTGATAAACGCCCACGGGCTGGGACGGGCGCTCCACCCACGACCCCACGCTCACGTTTGGTTCTTCAGCCCATCTGGAAAAGAGAGCGAAAATGATTTACTACCCACGGACGCAAATCTACGAACGTGTTTTAACGGCATGAGACTGACTGTAATTCATCTTGCCATTTAACGAACACCGCAACATCTTGATACTGAAAAACTCGAGGATAAGTCTTTTAATCCAATAATTCATTTAATCGAATCCACTACAAACTGAAGATTTCAACTCAAATCAGCTCAAAGACGACTAACCTCCTTGACTGCACGGTGTTGACCCTTGGCTGGGCAGAGGTGTTGAGGCGACTCATGTCATTGGTGATGTTGTGGACAACCTGGCTCTGGTGCATTCTCGGCGCCGGCTGCGTCGGGACCTGGAAGGAGCACGAGCATGAGGACGCTGTTTGAGGCGCGCGCATTGTGGAAAGGGAGCAGGGTATGGTGTTCGAATGATACATGAATATTAAATAAACTGCTAAATGAGTATAGTGAAGTTCAGAACTAAACAGAATTGTTCATCTCAACAAATCGAAATACAAAAAATATATATATATACAAAAATAAAAATAATAAAAAATACTACTACTACTACTAATAATAATAATAATAACAACAACAGCAAAAGCAAGTAACAGCAGCTCTGTAAACCCGACTCACCTTCGACTCCATCCGTTCTCGCCGGCCCCTCACTACTACTACTACTGATAATAATAACAACAGCAACAGCAAGTAACAGCAGCCCTGTAAACCCGACTCACCTTCGACTCATCCGTCTCGCCGTCGGCCCCCTCCATCCGGATGGTGATGATTCTCTCCCTGGGGGCGGCGGGGGCGGGGGCAGGGGCGGGGGCGGGTTCCATCACGGGGTTATACGCCTCCACCACGCCCTGGCCGCCGTTCCCGCCGTCGCTCGGGTTCTGGGACATGATGTCTCGCAACACCTGAGGGAGCGGAGAGGTGTTACCCTTGGGGGGCGAGGCGTGCGGGGGAATGGATGCGTTTGTGTTTGTGATTTGGATGCTCAGGATGGAGAAAGTCGCCCATGTTTTCACAAATACAATAGCAACAATAGCAGAAATCCTTTGTCGTATCAGCTGGGAATCCAGGGCGCAAATATTATTGATAACGACAATAATGATACTAAAGTCCGTCTACCATAACTACTAAGACTGTTTTTTTCCTCTTTCCTCTTCCCTCCTTCCACCCCCCTCCCTTCCTCCCCCACTTCCTCTCCAGAGTCCTCGGGGAAGGGAGTAGGTCGTTTGCCCCCCCCCCTCCCCCCCGGGCGACTCCGTCCAGAAGCAACCACTCTCCTGCCTTCCCGTAATACGTTCTTATTAAAGGGACACTCAAAATACATAAACTCCCGCATTTATTCATTTACGTATTTAAGGAACACAAACTTTAAATCACTATGAAACTCAACATAACCCTTCCCCCCTTAAGAAAAAAAAAAAAAAGAGAATCCAGTGACGTCATCAACGTATATTACGTATGAGTTCCGTGCGAAATCTAGGCCTATGGCCAGCGTTAACCTGCCGACGCCCTTCGTTACAATAGGCCTGAGTAAAGGTGAAATAATAACGAGCTAATTACTATGGGCTATTGAGGAATAAATTACCGTTAACAGGGGCGGGAACCACAGAAATCACGGTTCTAACTTTAAGTGATAACAAGTAACAAGTTTTTGAAATCTGCCGTCGATAAATGGGGAAATCGTAATGATTTACCTTTTAACGAGGCCCCTAAACTGGTCGGTCGAGACGTTACGACTTCTCGTTAATCACACCGTTAATTATAAACTTGTCATTTCATTAAAATTTATACGGGTGGTTTCTTTGTCTGGCTGTTTATATACTTGATTGTGTTTGTTTGTTTGCTTGTTTGTGTGTGCGTGTGAGACTTACCCCGACACTCTGCAGCTGCGGCGGGTTGGAGGCGAGCGGCGCGACGCGGCTGTGCAGCACATGCTGGTTCTGCAGGAGCTGCTGCTGCCACTTGAAGAAGTCCTGCTGCAGTTTCATGAATTCGTCCGCCAGCCGGGCGTCGTGGGGCATCATGCCGCCTCCCATCAGGCTGGGCATTCCCATCATGCCCGGCATTCCAGGCATCCCCGGCATTCCGCTGTTACTGCTGTTACCGTTGCTTCCTGCGGAAAGGAAAGTGTTGTTATTGCCATGTCTCCTCACCTATACACTTACGCGCTCCCGCATCTCCCCCCTGCCCCCTGCCCCCTGCCCCTGCCCCTGCCCTGCCCCCGCCCCAACCCTAGCTCCCGGGGCGGCCGAAGCCCTCCCCGCTCGCCGAGGCTGCGGCGGGAGATCGGGCGATATAATGATACGACCGTTAAGCGATGTCAGCGGGAGGAGGCCACGCCCACTCTGTCACGTGACTGAAAACAGGAAGTCATCCCATACAGCCCTACATCCTTTATAAATCACATTTGCATAACAATTGCCACAGATTCTGCAAATGCAAGAGCTTTCGCAAGCTGTTCCAAGGAGAAATCATGCAAAGAGAGTCATGCACGAGGCGGATTCGCGAAGACACAACTGCAGACGAATTCGCGCGCGGCAACTCGTCCGAAACCAAAACACGGGCTTCGAAACGCCGTGCGGGAATGGAAAACAACGACGTAGTCATCGCAGCAAAATCAAGCATTAACTCATGTAACAAACAAAGAAAAAATCGCACAACCGATTCATCATAAAAATCTAACTGTTGATTTAGCAGGACACTCCAACATAAACAGAATTATTACACAATTCCATCAACATATGAAAAAAAAGCAAATAGTTCACGTCCATCTATCACAAAAACGAACTATGTCAAAAACAATATGACAGTCATCAGCATTACCTCCAGCACCACCATCGCATAAAATACACAGCAAAATAACCCAAAGAGAGAGAAAAACATGAACCTCTAAAGAAGGCAAAACATTTCGAACGACTTCGCAGGCGGCGCCAATTACACGCGAGACAAAGAAACGACCCGATTAAAAAGTCCGGGAGGGAGAAACTACCTAGAAAAAACAAACAGACAAACAAACAAACGGTGCGACCAGCGGACATTTCCTTCTATTTTTTATTCATTTAAAAAATTCCGCGACTATTGTTTTTACTTATCTGTTAATGACAAGCGCGATCCCCACCGATCACAACTTCTTCAGTGAACAAATTAAAAGGAAAACGAGTCGCTTCCGAAAATACCGATGGCGCAAAAAGACCGGGAATTCCTTTTGTAATAAAACGCGCGAGGGAGATTTAGAGACCAGATTTGTGACACGGAGTTAAAATACCTCACTGGCAATGGAACAAATGCAATATAAATAGAACCCAACCTGACAGCGTCAACTAACACACACAAACAAAAAATGAAAACAAAAACCATGACGACAACAAAATCAAATCGGAAAGAATTTTTAAAAAATGTTGAAAATAAATGCCAATGGAATACCGAGCCAACACTAATCGTTCCTATAAAAATTACGACTCGCATAATACAACGAAACGTCTAAGCAAAAGTAGACAAAGAAACAAAGGGGCGCACGACATGCCAAACCCCATAAGCGCATTTGGCGCGCCGCCCGACGGAAGGGAGGCTGTGGATCTCCCGGAGAGGGAATCGAGCCCTTCTACAGCCTCTCTTGGCCCGGGGCTGCGGGAGGGGGATGCACGCCTCGGGGCGCCGCCCTCGAGATGTTGCTAAACAAGGATAACACGCACATACACATATTTTATATATATTTATATATATATATATATATATATATATATATATATATATATATATATATATATATATATATAGAGAGAGAGAGAGAGAGAGAGAGAGAGAGAGAGAGAGAGAGAGAGAGAGAGAGAGAGAGAGAGAGAGAGAGAGAGAGAGAGATAAATATATAGGCTGATAGATAAAGATACTTATTCTATCTCACTCGCAGTGTCCAAATACGAACAAGCATGTGTGCGATTTTCCTTATTTGTCCCTCCGTTACGTCACGATCGGCAAAGAATCCGCATTTTCCTGAACCTTGGGCGTGGTCTAATCCAACGAAAAAGGGTTCAAACCTACATCTATTTCCACTCAAGATAATCTCGTACAACTTGACAACAAACTACATCTCACAATCAACTTCATTCTCAGTATTATTATTATTATCATTCTTTTCATTATCATTACTGCAATTATCACTAACATTTGTATTATTATCATTACACACATACATACATTACTTTCCATATAAAGAAACAGCTTCCTTGCTCACGCCTACTATTTGAAAACTAAGAAGCAAATACGACCATAAGGCTAAAAGTGGACCCCACACATCCCCCCACCTCACCCCCCAACCCCTCAACTGCGATGCTCAGCCCTTAACACCTGCGATTCATCAGTCATCGGCCCACGCTCTCATTTCCCGCGTCTTGCATGCATAATTATATCTTCACCTGATCACCGAGGGGGAAGGTTTGCTGTGGATCTTCCACCTGCTCTATTCCTGTGCAAATGTTCAACAACATCGCTTTGCAATTGTATTATTTTTTCCAAAGTCCTGTGACTAGTTGACCATAAGGTCGCAGTCACGTTCAACCAAGTCATCCTCGCAATGGCACCTTCTTGCCCCATCACCCCCCCCCCCCCAACACCCCAAGGCGAGAGGAAACCGAAGGCACAAGTCACCCCCTTGGAACGGGGCGTCATGAGTTGCGTTACTTCCGCGCGCGATATCAGCCTCATCTTCCAAGGCGACGAGACACCGACATAAAGCATAAAGGAGGTTATCTTCCCTGGCCCTGACTTCCGGCGGCACCCTGCCCACTTTACCTTGCTCCATCCTGCCGTTGTGCTGCTGCGGTTCTCCGTCCAAGCCGTTCTGAAGGTAAATCTGAGCTTCAGACTTGAACATATCCGGCGAGTCACTCGGCCCGAGCTCCTCACGCGGCCCGGGGCCTCCTCGACACCTTTCGCCTTTTGCTCACTAAATGTCCTAATCTGCACCAAGTGGCGGTGCGCGCAACCAGGCGCTCGCTTCGCTCTCTATCTGAAAGGGAAAGGGACGTCACGCCGTGCCATCCCATCGGCGGGGGCGACGGCGCTACGCACTCCCGCCCACGGCCGTATATGGGCGGCGGCCCGCGCACACGGGAGAAGTACCCAATAATCAAAAGGTCAGAGATACGCCCACACCACCCACGACAATGACACTTGTGGGCGCCACTAAACCCGTCACTGAGTCATCTCACCATAAGGTCACTGCTCGAGCTTCGTCAGAATACCCGGGTGACTTTGCTCCACTGCACTGCTTGCTGGCCGGCTGAAGGCCCTGCCATGCCAGGGGAGACGCGCCGAGGGAAAGCAAGTGACTACTCGCCAGGGACAGACACTAAATTTCTCTTGGTACTGACATAGTGATATCAACGCGCATGCTATCTGAAGGGGAAGTTTAAAGCACACAGTTCGAAGAAATGCGAGGAAGGGAGGAATATAAAACGAAGGGAAAAGGTCGACAGGTGCGCAGAAAGCTATTAACTCAGAGCAGCGGAGCCTATGCACCTGCGCCAGTCCGCCTGGCTTTCGGCAGGACGTCTCCGGGTCACAGCATCCGAGGGGTATCGTCATGCATGCCCAGACGTAGGGCTTACGGGGCTGAGGGAGGGGAGGAGGTCGTGCGGGAGGGAAGCGCACACGTACAGGTGAGTCGTCGGGCGGGCAGCCTCGGGACCAGCCGCGCCGCCTCCAGCGTCTCCGCGGTCTACTCGCACACTGAGGGGAAGGCCCGACCTGCTCCCTCGTCCTGCCCTCTCCCCTCGCTCGCGCACCTGCCAGCGCCACCCCTCGCACGCCGCCCACCACCGCCCGCGCCCACGTGAGGTAAGCTATACGGGCATCATGAGTCACGCCCCTGGAACCCCGACGCGGCTTCTAGATTCCAATTCGAACGACGCCGCAAGAGTCTCATGATCGACGTAACGTTCAGAAGTGTGAACGTGAAACATGAAAACATGAAAATAGTGAAACATGCTGGCGAACCGCCAGCATGTTTCACGTTTCCGAACAAAACGAAAGATCCCACTCCACTTCCCACGAAATTAAAACCCCCTCACGAAGAAAGATTTTTAAGCCTTCCCCCCCCCCTACATCTCCCACCCAGTGTCAACAACTGTCTTCGCCTCCACAAGCCTCAAACCTCGACGCAGGTGACTCAGCCTCCCACAGCCCCGCCTTCAGCCCCTCCTACAGGCCCTCCTCCCTCAGTGCCCCGCAGCCTAAATGCCTCGCAAATTGACTCTTCGAAATACTTTTTTGGGGGGGGGCGCTACAAAAAGGCAAATCCCTGAAATAATTAGCATACCGTTTATTCTAACCACGGATTTCGAACAGACACATACGAATATTTATGTGGTCCTTGTTAACATATATTTATCGAGAAAATAAATGGAACTGTTTGTTCTCTTTTTAGCTCCACACCGAGGGAGATCCGCCTCGCTCTAACCACATGACGTCATCACATACACGGAAAAAAAACCTTCATTTCATTCACACCCTCGAGCAATATTTCATTTCTCTCTGAAACAAACAAACAATAAAAAAAGACACAGAAAAAGCGAAAGGGGAAAGACCGGTCCGTAACGTCGCTCACCAATCACTTTTTTGGCGATCCCTTATTCGTTTTTTCTTTTCTTTTTGGCGGGAAAACACCGTTTATACGTAATTAAAGTGCGCGTCGAAGGGCCGTGTTCGTGGCACCTCCGTCCCTTAAAAGCCCTATAAATCTCCCCCATTCCTGCCCTCTGACGTGAATCCATCAGAAAGGCACCATATCGGGCGTGCTTGTTACGCTTTACGACCCCAACGGAACACCCTCAGGGCACCGTACCCGCCGCGAAACTGCAAAACCTCCTCCTTTGATATCACATCTCGCACCTCGTTAAGTTCATCTTTTTATTTTTTACAATTCTATTATTATTATTATTTTTTAATGTTCACCCAGTTTTCTTCCAATTTAATGCTTCCTGTTGAGGCATTTACTGAATACGTCTTTATTATGGTTCCGAGCACGTTTCCCCACCACTTTAACATGCACGCACACACACCCATACGCGTGCACTGCGCAGCCAACTTGGGGCATGACGGCATCGCCAACTGCAA